TGGCCTGCGGCCCGCAACGCTCTGCGCAGGACGACTCACAGGCAGTCGCACCGCAGCGGAAGGAGACTGAGAGCTCGCGCAAGTCTTGCCGCAAAGGCCAGGAGACACAGAGCTGTGGAGATGATCCAGTGGAGATGCAACCGATGATGGCCGCGTGACACAGCTTGGAGGAAGAGCTTCGGATAGGTCATGTGCACCTGCATGAGGTTCCGCGCGGTTTCCCACAAGTGTGTCAGCGTTCTCAACGCGTCAGGAAAGCAGTAAGAGCCATGGAGCAGGGGGCGAGGAAGAAACGCAGCACTCAGTCACAAAAAACCTTCATCTCCCACGATTTCCGCCCGGGCGACTCCAGGTGTGCAACAAACGACCTCTCCGAGAACCGATCGTTGTTGCCAAGGAGAAGTACACCGCCCAGCATCCCCTTATCCCTAAACCCTAAACCCCAAACCCTAAACCCTAAACCCTAAACCCTAAACCCTAAACCCTAAACCCTAAACCCTAAACCCTAAACCCTAAAGGCTATGTCTGGAACGCGCCTTTGAGGGGGAAGGCTGGAGCTTCTCAGGGGCGCAGCCCGAGAAGCATCTAGCGATCCACTCGGAGCCACTGGCCCTTTCGAAGTTTAGGGTTCAGGGTTCAGGGTTCAGGGTTCAGGGTTTAGGGTTTAGGGTTTAGGGTTTAGGGTTTAGGGTTTAGGGTTCAGGGTTTAGGGCCAGTTGGGGGTTTCCGAAAATGGGGGTCATATGGGGGTCGGAGAAATTACTAGTGGCATTCCCTTCGGGTCCCTTTATGAATTTACGATAATCCCCCCCCCACCCCCCCTCCCCCCCCCCCCCCCCCCCAAAAAAAAAAAAACAGTATTACGCTTTTGGGGGGGGGGGGGGGGGTCCCATAATGAGGATTATGTTATTTGGGGTGAGGGGTCGCATATTTTCTCAAACCCCCACTTGTCTGTTGGCATTTTGAATACACATCAGACCCAGGGAAAACCTGGGAATAAAAGGCTACCCTTTTTGGTTTTAAGGGGATTTTAAGGGAACCCCGCTCCGAAAAAGAGGAAATAAGGGCCTACTCCGGGTCCTACTTAAAGGTTCAGAGTCCCTTATTAACCAATTATTACAACTGTACTTATTTTCCACTTACAAGCCCCTTAAGTGCCCTAATATGGTTCTACTTAGGGTGATAAGCACAGTTATAATTGGTTAATAAGTACCATGAACCCCCAAGTAGACATTCCTCGGGGTTGCTGCAAATCTTCTGGCGGTTATACAGGACTTCCGCGTAGCGCATGATGCGGTGAGTCGCCCGGTGATGACTGGCTGAATATGAACAAGTCAAGGTATAAGTGTGCGTGCGCGCGGGCTGGCGGGCGGGTGGGCGGGTGGGCGCGCGCTCGTGTGTGCACGCGCGTCAATGTGTCTCAATTATAGAGGTAGAGGTAGAGAGAGAGAGAGAGAGAGAGAGAGAGAGAGAGAGGGAGAGAGAGAGAGAGAGCCACAGACGTCAGTGTTTCAGCAGCTGAAAACCCATGCCATCCATGCTTGCACTGCGCTTACTGCAGATATTTTTGCAACGGGGGCGCATAGAAGATGCCAAACATGTAGGAGCCTGTAGGCAGTAGACCCCTTCGCCAAAGAAGGCGCCCAAGCCCAGCCCAAAACCATCGCCTAAGCAACACACACGCTAAACCCTAAACCCTAAACCCTAAACCCTAAACCCTAAACCCTAAACCCTAAACCCTAAACCCTATCAAGGGACTCTACCTCGGAGCCCTAAGGTGGTACCCTTGGGTTTGGGGACCCAGTTTTCTAAGATCCCTGAGGTACTTAAGGGGTACGAAGTCTGACTCCCTTAGGGTTTAGGGTTTAGGGTTTAGGGTTTAGGGTTTAGGGTCCTTGATTGCAAGACCCTCCTGTAGCTGCCCCCAAGGCTCATTGAAGTCGCACGCGAAAGAGTTCTGGCCGGTGCATTTGCACTGCGTCCCCTTGGCAACCTCAAGATGCGGTGTTTAGGGTTTAGGGTTTAAGGTTTAGGGTATAGGGTTTAGGGTCTAGGGTTTAGGGTTTAGGGTTTAGGGTATAGGGTTTAGGGTTTAGAGTTTAGAGTATAGGGTTTAGGGTTGAAAGCCTGAGGCCTGAGGCTCGGCTTTGGGGTGTAGGGTTGCTGTGAAGGGGTTTAGGGTTTTTTGGCAGACTAGCCACGGCAGTGCGGGGTTTGTAGGTCGGTCTCGAAGAACTGGAAAAGGATCCAAGGTTAGGTTGAAACGCACCTTGGGTAATCGCCTTTGGCATTCAGGTTAGGAAATCAAGCCGTCTTAGTTGTCCCCACACCTTCCGGTTTAGGGTTTAGGGTTTAGGGTTTAGGGTTTAGGGTTTAGGGTTTAGGGTTTAGGGTTTAGGGTTTAGGGTTTAGGGTTTAGGGTTTAGGGTTCCAAAACCTAGGGCCTGAAGCTCAGCTTGGTTGCTGTGAAGGGGTTTAGGGTTTAGGGCATAGGGTTTAGGGTTTAGGGCTTAGGGTTCAAAACCTAGGGCCTGAGGCTCGGCTTTGGGGTGTGTAGGGTTGCTGTGAAGAGGTTTAGGGTTTAGGGTAGCTAGGATAATATGGCACATGGCAGGGTTTCCTTGCTGTTGTGGTAACTTGATGTAGAAAACCGACTGAGAGCACCATATGGACACCCTAAACCCTAAACCCTAAACCTAAACCCTAGACCCTAAGCCCTAAGCCCTGAGCCCTAAACCCTAAACCCTAAAACCCTAAACCCTAAACTCTAAACCCTAAAGAGTTCGTCCTTTTGAGACACAGCCCACCCTAAACCCTAAACCCTAAACCCTAAACCCTAAGCCCAAAGCCCTAAACACTGCACCCTGCAAACGGCCAGGGTGCACAGGATTCCTCCGTGCTCAGCCAGTTGCCAGTTGCGTCGTAGCCTCGGAACGAAAGCCCAGTGAGCCCAAGACGCTGGCTAGGAATTATGGGGTTTAGGGTTTAGGGTTTAGGGTTTGGGGTTTAGGACGTCTAGGACATAGAATTATTGTGCTGTCTAGGAACTATGCGGTTTAGGGTTCGGGGTTTAGGACGTAGAATTATGGGGCTTAGGTTTAAGGGTTTAGGGTTTTGGGGTTTCGGAATTGTAGGGTTAGGGTTTGGGGTTCAGGAGATGCAGGGTTTAGGGTTTGGGCATTTAGGAATTAGAGGGTTTGGGGTTTGGGGTGTAGGAATTCGAGGGTTTAGGGTTGAGCAAAAAGGGTCCCGAGTTTACGGGTAAAGCACACGCATGGAGAAAATGTCCCCTGAGATGCTACTCCCTAAAACCTAACATGACCCCTAGACCTTAAGCCCGAAACCCCTAAACCCTAGCCCTAAACCCTAAACCCCCTAGAGCTCAAACCTAGCTACTGTAGCCTCCCCCCCCAGTCACCCCACAATGTCCCTGAATAAACCCTAAACCCTAAACCCTAAAGTTTTAGGGGTTTCGGGTTTTGGAATATTCGGTTTTAGGGTTAAAAATCAAGCAGTCAAGGGGCTTGGGCTGTAGCAGGTGTCCTCGTTGTCGGTGCAGTACACGGGGCAGCGCATGGTATCTTCCAGCAGACAAGAGGCGAGCTGGCGATTCTAAACCCTAAACCCTAGACCCTAAGCCCTAAACCCTAAACCCTACAGAAGACAATTCTAAAGCCAGTTCCGAACGCCAAAACGGAGTCGGCGTGTTTTTGCGGGTTTGGGCAGCTCAGGGCTCTGAAAGTCTGGACTACCCCCTGTAGGCTTCTCGGGCCTCGGGTTGAAGGTTTAGGGTTCGGGTTCGACTACGCCCCCAGTTCGGGGTAGGATCCGGTGATCTGGGAGCTTCCCAAACACGAGGGTAAAAATGTAGTAGAAGCCCCTTTTCACGGGACACTTCATGTCAGAAACCGTCTATAGCTTGTAGGACAAATACCCACTATACGTGGAGGTGTGGCACGGAAGGTTGCAACAGTGCAAGTATTGTTCGACCTATCCAGAGGCAAGCAGCACGTAGGTTATATCTACCTGAGACCGGGAACTCGATAGCCCTAAACCCTAAACCCTAACCCCTACACCCTAAGCCCCAAACCCTAAATCCTAAAGCCTAAACCCCCGAAACCCCTAAACCCCCTGACGCCCTAAACCCTTAGACTCGACACCCCCCCAAGTATGCCGGGCCCTGGGGATGCCAATCTAAGGGATCCTGGTTGCGATGAACAAGCCTACTGGGAGGCTCATGGGTACCGAATAGGGTTTAGGGTTTAGAGGTTTAGGGGTTTAGGGTTTAGGGGTTTAGGGTTTAGGGTTTAGCAGCCCCAATGATAAGTCAGACTGATAACCTGCTTCGGGACTTAACGGGCTTCTGAGTGAAGCTATACTTGGGGTCCACGAACCCCCAACTAGTCCTCTATGTGGAGGGTTTAGGGGTGCATGGCTTGAAGGGTTCGAGGGTTTACGGCTTGCAGGTGAAAACGGCTTCTCTTTTGTACCACCTGCACTGCGTACGCCTGCAGTCAAGAGTTTCGAGGGTTTCAGGGTTTTTTGGATTTCAGAGTTTGAAGGGCCCAGGAATGCAAAGCCAGCTGGTGCGGTAAAGTCGCTGTTCGTCCAATAATCCACCAGGGGATAGCAGTAGTGGTAATCCTGGGCGTGCCCTAAACCCGAAACCCAAAACCAAGCCTAAACCCTAAAACCCTAAGAACCCTAAGCCCAAGCCCACGCCCAAAGAGAGAGACCCCAAGTTGGATGGTGGCGAGCGTTTTCAGGGCTTTCGTTTGGGTTTAGTAGGGGGGGTTAAGTGTATAGGGTTTAAGGTTGAGTAGTGTAGGGGGGTAGTAGTTTGGGGTGAAGAAGTTTTCGTTTCGGGCGTAGGGTTGAGTGGTGTAGGGGTGCGGGGTAGTAGTTTAAGGTTTATAGGGTTCAGGGGTAAACAGTTTTCAGGGTTGGGTGGTTGTTTGGGGCTTATGGTTCTGCAAACGTCCCTTGAAACGCCCGGATGCCCAGTGGGGATCGTGGCACTGCTGCGCATTGGTGCCTCGACTGGGGCTTTAGGGTTCGGGGGAAGTTTCGAGCTCTTGAATCTAGACCCCAAAGAGTAACCTAGGAATGAGAAAGGGTGCCCGTTGTTTTGGTTTAGATGGGCTTGTAAGGGAACCTAAACCCTAAAGAAACGGAAATAAGGGCCTACTCTGGGTCCTAGGTTTTGAAGGGGTTGGGAAGTCTTGGGGGCCTGGGGTTTATGGGTTGTTTCAGGGATTTGCGCTGAAGCTTTAGCGAGGTCACCTTTCGTCCATCACTGAGAAAGGGCTAAGCCCCAAACGCCGTACACCCTGACACCCTAAACCCTGAAACCCTAACACCCTGAACTCTAATCCCAAATCCCAAACCCCACACCCTAAACCCTCTTGAAGAGATGCCAGGGTGCCACAGGGGCACACGGCCGTGGCTGACACGCACGTCTCTCGGAAAGCGCCAGGGAAGCCGTTCGTCGCGTAGTCCTTCAGAAAGGGTTTAGGGTTTAGGGTTTAGGGTTTAGGGTTTAGGGTTTAGGGTTTAGGGTTTAGGGTTTAGGGGTTAGGGGTTAGGGGTTTAGGGTTTAGGGTTTAGGGTTTATGCGATCTGCCAGGCGGACAAATCCAGAAGCCACGTGACTTGTGGAGAGACTTACATAGAGATTCACTAATTCGTTGGAAAGGCCAAGAAGTAAGACCTGGCGTTGGGCCAACCAAGCCCTCTTCGCATTTACAGAGTTGACAGTGGAAGGAAAGTTAGGGTTTAGGGTCTAGGGTCTAGGGTCCAGGGTTTAGGGTCTGGGGTTTAGGACATTTGGGGATTTAGGGGGTTGAGGGGGTTTAGGGGGTTCAGGGGATCTCGTGGGTTTAGGGGGGTTAGGGCTCCAGGGTTCAGGGGTTTAATTGGGGTTTAGGGGTGTGCCTGCACTATACATAACAGGGGCGTCGGGTTTTGGCGCGGCGGCAGACCACCACAAGGACCCCGGTGTAGTTGAAGGTCGATTTCTGAACTAATGGATTAGGGGGTCATACTTTAAAGAAACCCAAACCCTAAACCCTAAACCAGCCTGAGAAGCCATAAACGCTAAACCCGAAACGCAATAACCCCGAGTCCTCCCCATAGATTCGAAACAACCTGAGAGGACCTGAAAGGACCACAAGCCCTACTTGGAGGTTCATGGGTACGTAGAACCCCAATCATTCGTCTGCTTCTTAAGCTACTTGGAGGACTTCGGGGACTTGTAAGTACAGTCATGTTGCGGTCTTAAGTGCCCTGGACCTCCAAGTGTACACCGTCAACCCTACAACCATCGCGAAACATGATTCCCCATTGCCCCTCAACCCTGGAATTGAGCCTAAGCCCTCCTCAAAACCCTAAACCTTAACCCCCACTAAGCCCTAAGCCCTAAGCCCTAAGCCCCAAGCCCTAAGCCCTAAGCCCCAAGCCCCAAACCCTAAACCCTAAACCCTAAACCCTAAACCCTAAACCCTAAACCCTAAACCCTAAACCCTCCAGCAATGCAGCCCCATCGGCCAAGATGTAGCAGCGTTGCTCAGTCGACTTGCAGCTCACGGGACAGGTCTCGGCCGTTGGGTAGCAGACCTCGTTGTCGTACCTCGTTAGGGTCTAGGGTTTAGGGTTTAGGGTTTAGGGTTTAGGGTTTAGGGTTTAGGGTTTAGGGCTTGGGGTTTAGGGTTTAGGGTTTAGGGTTAGGGTTTAGGGTTTAGGGTTTAGGGTTTAGGGTTTAGGGTTTAGGGTTTAGGGTTTAGGGTTTAGGGTTTAGGGTTTAGGGTTTAGGGTTTAGGGCTTAGGGCTTAGGGCTTAGGGCTTAGGGTTTAGGGTTGAGGTTTCGGGTTCAGGGCCTGGCAACGTTCTCAACTATACTCAGGCCTAAACCCTAAACCCTCTCAACTGTACTCAGTCCGAAACCCTAGACCCTACAAGTACACTTATAATTGGTTCATAAGTACCCTGAACCCTCAAGTAGGACTCGCCGTCTTGGTCTTCGTTGCGACCTACTGAGAAGTCATCCGGATGTTGGACTTGGGTGGCCCTAAGCCCTTTTTGCCACCGGTCTGAGCCCTAAACCCTAAACCCTAAACTCTTCTTGTGCAGCATTTGTGCATCCTTGGGATGACCCAACAACTCAGCGGAATCAGACTTGCACTCGCTCATCATGGTGATACAGGCCCGCCTCTATGTAGGGTTTTGAGCTGAAGGCTTCAAGCTTGCAGGGGTTTCAGAGTTCAAGGTTCAGCAATGAATCCTCAAACAATCCGCACGGGCTACTTGTTCATGATAGCTTCTCAACCTGTATATCGCTGCTTATGAAGTACTTCTTGGGCCCGATATTTAACGCCCCTACACAAAAAAAAACACAATCAAGGGGCCTATGTACTTAGAAAAGGTGTTTTGGGAGGATGAATTCGAGTCATGCAAGGATTATGTGGGGATGCCACTGGCAGATATTTCAGCCCCGTGTTGCCGCCGTACTTGGGGTTTCGAATGTGGGGTGCGTGAGGTCGGACATCAACATTTTCAATGGTAGGCAATTATTTCGGGGTTTACGACAATTTGTGAACCCTACAATAGACCCCCAAATAGTCTGATTTCCTTCCACCAGAAACCCCAAGAAGGTACCCTTATTTTCAGAACAACCACCCCCCCCCCCCCCCCCCCAATTTTTGGGGCATGGGGCACTTGAAATCACTGAATGCCGACAGCGTTTTGGGGTTCAGGGTGCCAAGCCCTAAACCCTAAACCCTATAACCCTATAACCCTATAACCCTATAACCCTATAACCCTATAACCCTATAACCCTATAACCCTATAACCCTGAACCCTATACACCTCCATCTCCCGCTGAGTGCAGGGCCCCCACTCGTCCTCGTGTCATGGGCGGACAAGGGCTTCCGGTGCTTTCCATGGCTAAAGGGTTTAGGGTTTAGGGTTTAGGGTTTGGGGTTTGGGGTTTGGGGTTTGGGGTTTGGGGTTTGGGGTTTGGGGTTTGGCCCTGGATCCTCTGGGGATTCTTGGACCAGTAGGGTTGGTACCCCTTGGTTTGGGGGCTCGGTTCTTTTGTTTGAGGACCTTTTCACAAGAAGAATCCCTTCAGGAGCTGTGGTGACCCCGTTTTTAGCTGCTGTCAGATTGAGGGAAGCGTCTCTCGGGACACAAATTGGTGGCTGTTGAGCTGCCCCTGTGAAGAGCCGTTTAGGGTTTAGGGTTTAGGGTTTAGGGTTTAGGCCTGATTCCTCAAGCCAAAGCCGCAAAAAAACGCTAAGCCACGAGCCCGAGAAGCGCGTCTGTGGGTTTGTCAGGAGGTTGCTCTCGCGCTGCTAATAGGTACCCTTGAAAAGCCTAACTGCCCTAAACCCTAAACCCTAAACCCTAAACCCTAAACCCTAAACTGCTCATTAATCTGCAAGGCCCTACACCTAAACCCTAAACCCTACCTGTGTACATGCACCTGAGCTTGTCAAAACACACAGGATGGTGCCGGTGCACCATTTTCCGATTTGATTTCACCCTAAACCCTGAACCCTGGCTTCCTCAAGCCTACATAAACCCTAAACCCCCCTAAAAACCGTTACTCGAAACCGAAACCCTGTCGTGAGAGCTTGCCAGCCACCAAGCTTCCGTCCATCTGCACATCTTCGCATTGGCGCCGCAAGGGCACGTCCTCGGCTTCGGGTTGAGGCTTAGTGGTCCAGTAACATAAGGTTTAGGGTTTAGGGTTTAGGGTTTAGGGTTTAGGGTTTAGGGTTTAGGGTTTAGGGTTTAGGGTTTAGGGTTTAGGGTTTAGGGTTTAGGGTTTAGGGTTTAGGGTCTAGGGTCTAGGGTTTAGGGTTTAGGGTAGGGGAACTAACCCCCCCCTCCTTTGGCATTTTACTAGGGATTATCATGCCGAAAAAGGGTTAAAGGCTACCTACCCTTCTACTAAGGAGGGCGTCTTGAGGCCTTAGGCAAACTCCAAGGCTCATGTGTCCGTTTATTGATATAGGGTTTAGGGTTGCGGGTTTGAGGGCTTAGGCTGTATAGAGTGTAGGATTTAGGGCCTAGGGTCTGTAGAGGGTTGAGGGCTTGGCAGGCAAGGTGCTGTGTGACATTCTGGCAGCTCTCGTTCACGGGGGCGTTCCAGTCTTGCTCACCTAGGGGAATCGGATGGTGTCTTTGAGGGCATAGCCTTGTAAGATTCTCAGGCAACAATGAAATGGGCTGGGGCTTGGTGTTGTGAGGGTACAGGTTAGTCACGCTCTAGCCGCCCGTGCGTAAAGCAGCAGCCAGGCCCCCTAAAAGGAGCCGACACCTCGGCCACAGTAGGGTTTTGAGAGGGTGTTGAACCCCCCTAACCCTAAACCCTAAACCCTAAACCCTACACCCTAAACCCCCTAAACTGCCAACCGGGTACAACCGGTCAACCAGCCCTGCGCATCCACAGACACCACGGCACGGCATGTGCAGCAACATTGTGGCGGCAGCCACTTGGAGCTGTGGAGGACCCCTAAACCCTAAACCCTAAACCCTAAACCCTAAACCCTAAACCCTAAACCCTAAACCCTAAACCCTAAACCCTAAACCTAAACCCTAAACCCTAAAAGGCCCTGAGCCCTAAACCCGGAACCCTACAAATTCCTCAGCCCTACATAAACCCTAACCTTAAAGGGTCGATCTTTCAGATCCTGCCTGACTAAGATTCGGGGTTTCGACATTTTCGGCTTCAAGCTCTACTTAGGGTTTAGGGTTTAAGTTTTAGGGTTTAGGGCTATTGTACTACGGACCCCAACAAGGTACCCCGAATTTCGGAAACCTCCATATGGGAGGAAATTACCGGTATCTATGTAGGCTCCTGGAGAAAGTCCCACGCAGGGGCCCGAGACTTGCTTTCCGAGGCACCCTCGAGCGTGTAGGCGACGGGGTAGCAGGTCTTCTCGTTGACGGGGTCGCAAACAAGGGGGCAGCCCCAAGACGTCTGGGCGTGGGGGCCTAAACTCCTAAACCCTAAACAGACTAAACCCTAAACCCTAAACCCTACTGCAAACCCTAAACTAAACCCTTGACCCTAAACGCCAAAAAAGGCTAAACCACCTAGCCCTCTTAGAACCAGTAACCTAAAACCCTAAACCCTAAACCCTAAACCCCAAACCCTAAACCCTCGGCATCGAAAGGACTAGGGGTTCCTCCTGTTAAAGCGGTTTAGGCTCTCTGAGCCCGAACGCCTTTTAGGGCTTAGGATTCAGACAGGTTTAGGTTAGGGCCAGGCCCTCAACTCCTACCTAAAAAACCCATTGCCATAAACCAACCCTAAACCCTAAACCCTAAACCCTAAACCCTAAACCCTAAACCCTAAACCCTAAACCCTAAACCCTAAACCCTAAACCCTAAACCCCCAAGCCCGATGCCCAGGCACGGCGGTGCAGTAGGAGTAGCCGAAGAAAGGGTCAGTGCACTTGACCTCTGAGTCGCGGGTTTGTTTTGGAGACGTTAAGTCGTTGGCCTAACGCCCCACTTGGTCGCCCCGTGGCTTTGGGTTTAGGGTTTAGGGTTTTAGGGTTTTAGGGTTTTAGGGTTTTAGGGTTTTAGGGTTTTAGGGTTTAGGGTTTAGGGTTTAGGGTATAGGGTTTAGGGTTTAGGGCTTAGGGATTCTTGGTAGCCCAGTAGCCATATTAAAATAAGGGTACCCTGTTTTGGGGTTGGTTACACAAGGGAACCCTGATTCAGAAGAAAAGGGGGAAAGGGTACCACTGGGCTACCAAGCCTACATCCTAAACCCGCAACCCCTGAACCCTCAAGGCCTCAAGAAGACCTTAATTAGGCTTAATTATCCCTAAATAGCCTTAATTATGGAGGGAACCTAGGGGGGGTACTATAGAGGGGCGTAAGGGAACCCTAAACCCTAAACCCTAAACCCTAAACCCTAAACCCTAAACCCTAAACCCTAAACCCTAAACCCTAAACCCGGAAGGGTAGTATAGAGGGGGGTAAGGGAACCCACCGTATGTGGGGGAGGTACCCAATAATGCAGCTCCCGCTTCTGTCTAGGCCAAGGCCTTTCTTGCAGTCAGGGAACATTTTGGGGTGCTGATCTCGAGTGCTTCCACTAGGGTTTAGGGTTTAGGGTTTAGGGGTTCTTTGAAACAGCAGATGCAAGCGTGGCATCGCGCTGCTGAAGAATCGCGCGAACCCTGAGCAGGGCCAAGTAAGCAATTACAGGTGATATGCGAGTGGCATGGAGTCCCCCCCGATTTTCACAATCCCCAATATCCCAAGAGCCACCCTTAAACCCTAAACCCTGGACCCTAAACCCTAAACCCTGAACCCTGAACCCCCCACCCATGCTAGCCGCGTGGCGGCATTGTTTCCGCACGGGCAGTCCTCCGCCCAAGAGGCACCTGCATGCAGGACGACGCTTTCGGCAGAAACTTTGGGGCTTAGGGTTGAAAGAAAGTTGTTGGGGTTTTCGGGTTGAGTGCTCAGAAGTGTGAGTTGAGAGTTGAGGGTTTTTTGGCAGAGTTGAGTGTTTCGGGTTCGGGGTTGCGGGTGTAGTTGGGTCTGAGAGGACACCGAAGTAACCCAATACATGGGTCTATGATCGCAAAGTGAGCATACCTCTTATAACGTGCGTAGTGGGTGTGGTATTGGCAAGATGTGGTTGCCCAAGTTGAACCCTATATACCTCTCAAAGATGCACCTCGAAACCATCATAAGATTCCCCAATATTCCCCAAATAGTTCAAGGAACATACCTTAGGTTGAAACCAAAGTGACAGTCTATCTCATTTCACGAACTCTCTTGAAACAAGCTCGTCTTGAAGATCAGAGAGTTTGAGTGGGCATTCGGGTTGCGGGGGTTGCTTAGGTGTCTGTTCCGAGGTTGAGGTTTAAACCGCCAACCGACTTGTGAGGAACCCCGTCAAGAGAGGATCCCCCTAAGCGCCGGATTCCTGCAGTGTATGACTAGCAGGCACAGCGATGCAAAGCAGCACCCTAAACCCTTAACCCTCAAAACCCTTAAACCCTAAACCCTTAAACCCTTAAACCCCAAAACCCCAAAACCCCTAAATCCTCAACAACCCTAAACCCTTAAACCCCAAAACCCCAAAACCCCTAAATCCTCAACAACCCTAAACCCTTAAACCCCAAAACCCTATGGCCCTAAAATCCTCAACAACCCTAAACCCTGAACAGCGCAAGAGCCCCGTTGGAAGAAAGGGAACGTGCACAGGCCGTGTCGGGGTCTGGGAATCGTGAAACCGAACGGAACCTGAAACCCCCAAACCCTAAACCCTAAGGTTTAGGGTTTAGGGTTTAGGGTATTAGGGTTTGGGGTTTAGGGTTTAGGGTTTCGGGTTTAGGGCCCAAAACTCTAGAACCCTAACACCCCAAAACCCGAACACCCTAAGACCCCAAAGCCCTAGCACCCCAAAACCCTAAAAGCCTGAGATCAGGAGAGAAAAAGAAATCAAAACGCTAAAGCCCCCAAAACCACAAAAGCCTAACATCAGGAGAAAAAACAAAAATCTTCAAAACCACCACAACCCGAAGCCGAGGCACATGACTCGGAGCTGTCGAGCCAGTTGCCATTGGTATCGTAGTTGTCCTACCCCATGTGGCCATTTCCGAAAATATGGAAATAAGGTACCTCTTATATGTATATATATATATATATATATTTCAAAAAAAGAAGGTCCCCCTTATACACCCCCAAAATACTATAGCCCTGTAAGAACCCCTCAGAAAGGGTAGCGATACATCCGGGAATTCGGATTCGAGTAAACAACCCTTAAACCTCATTGGGTTGAGGGTTTGGGGCTGACGTTGCTTGTGAACATGCCCAACAAAATGCGGCACGGCCAAAGCCCAGCGTCCAACCTGTTAAGAGAGTCTCGCGCCCGACACCCGGTGATGCAGGATGCGTCCACCCCACCATCAGAAGCCGGAGAGCAAGGCGGCCGTAGGGCGAACCCCCGACACCTGCAGGAGTCCTTGGCCCTTGGCGTCCCGCAAGACCTCCAGCACCATGCTTGCCGATGGGCCGTAGCAGCAGGTGCTACTTTACAAGCTATGTACCAGAAGCTTGACGGACCCAAGCGAAGGCCAGAGGAAGCTTGACGAGCCAAGCAGAGGTCAGGTGCGAAAAGAGCCAGGCAGGCCGGGCACAAAGGGCAAGCAAGGGCAGAGGCCCGCTCTTACAGGGGCGCGCAGCTTGGGAGGATCACGGGTTTTGCAGCGGAGTGGAGGCGGACTGCGCCCCGTCGGGGCGCAGGACAGCACGGGCGTTCTCGCTGGAGCGTGACGCTGAGGCACTGCAAGAGCTGCTCGGTGGCCGCACCCGATCCATCACCGGACTTGGCGGCCAGGAGTGCACCAAGTGTGTGCCAGACTTTTTGATTGCTTCACGCCCCCAGGATGATTCCGCAATGAGGGGGAGGAACTGCAACCCCTGGTCTCGGCAGAGGGCTGCCGTGTTAAGATGGGAACGCTTGCGTTCCTCGTAAGCCGCACAAGTGTGAGAGCCACATCGCAAGCCGCTGGTGACGGCAAGGTCGAACACCGCGGGCCCGTGCAACCCCCAATGAGGCACAAAGACATCAGCTGAACTGCGCCTGCTTCACAGGCACCAAGTTCAGCAGGGCGGGCGGGGAGGAGGTCTGGCTTTTCAATCTCAGGGGATAAGCCGGCAGCCTCAGCCCGCTCCCCCGTTTGGGGCCCCCCCCCCCCCCATATGTAAAGCTTAGAGATTTAGTATGTTTAGGGTGTAGGGTTTGGGGCTTTGGGCTTTGGAGTTCCGATTCGAACGCGGAGCCTTGGAGAATAACCCATTTAGCTTACAGTGCCTGCGGCAGATATCTGAGCTCCTAAAGACCCTTTTCTTTGTAGCCCCTTGTTTGGGGTTGGACGCGAGATTTCTGAGGAGATTCTAGGTTTTAGTCTTGGGAAGGTTCGGGGTTTTGACAAACCCTAAACCCTAAACCCTAAACCCTAAACCCTAAACCCTAAACCCTAAACCCTAAACCCTAAACCCTAAACCCTAAGCCCAAACCCTAACACGACGCCGGAAACTCACCTTTTGCACCCCGGATGCCCTCAGGACCGCCTGAAATGCAGGGTTTGGGAGCCTAAATCCTATTCCACCTAAGGGTTTAGGGTTATAGGGTTATAGGGTTATAGGGTTATAGGGTTATAGGGTTATAGGGTTATAGGGTTATAGGGTTATAGGGTTATAGGGTTATAGGGGTTATAGGGGTTATAGGGGTTATAGGGTTATAGGGGTTATGGGGTTATAGGGTTATAGGGTTATAGGGTTATAGGGCTATAGGGTTATAGGGTTCTCGGGTTATAGGGTTTAGGGCTCTTAGGGTTTAGGGCTTCTCAAAGCCATCAACCCTGCAGCCCTTTTGATTACAGCTTCGGGTTCAGGGTTTCGGGTTTAGGCTAAAACCTAAATTCAATGTTGCAGCCGAGAGGCCACCCAGCAGTATTGCTCTGAACAGCTGACCGGGCAGCTGTCCTGAACGCCGAGCATTAGGGCCTACCCTAAACCCTAAACCTTAAACCCTAAACCCCAAACCCCAAACCCTGAACCCTAAACCCTAAACCTCTAGGGGCCTTTCGGGTGGGGACCTTCCAACCCCAGGGCCCGAACCCCCCCCCCCCCCCCCCCCCCCCCCCCCCCCCCCCCCCCCCCCCCCCCAAAAAAACAAAAAAAACCAACAAACCTTAGCTTCGGAAGGCTTACCCCCTCCATGTTACCCAGATCAGAGAGTCCCCAGCGCTCCGGCTTTTTGGGGTTTGGGGTTTATGGAGACTCTTTCAAGGCTAGGATATTCCTTTACGAAGGAAGTAGCACCACACTGGGTCTTGAGCTCATCTTGAGATGTAATTCGGGGGATCAAGGCAAGGTTTGTGGCTTCAGCGGTTTACTGTTAAGGGTACACACCCCAAACTGCAAACCCTATACACCCTCAACCATATACACCCCCGAACCCTAAACCCTAAACCCTAAACCCTATACACCCGAAACCGAAACCCCAAACCCTGCCAAGCTGTCCGACAGGGACACGCAGTGCTCGTCGTAGGCACCAGGCGTGCCGCACCTCGTAGGATCGCAGGCTTGAAGGTTTGGGGTTTAGGGTTTGGGGTTTAGGGTTTAGGGCTTGGGGTTTAGGGTTTAGGCTGTACAAACAAGGTCAAGGAATCTTGGGGTAGTACCCTATTACCTTCTAGCCCGAAAGCCTCCGAGCACTTTGGCGTAGTCAAGGTGGGCTTCGTGCGTATAGGGTGCAGGGCTGGCAAAAGCCTCGACTCTGCCTCCAAGCGATGGTCCAGAACCCCCAAGCAATAGGGTTCCCGAGCTAAAGGTTGCAGAGGCCAATTCTCATCTGCAAAGGTAGCGGCACCTGGATAAGCCCGCACCAGCCGTAGGCGTTCAGGGTCGAGCGTTACAGTAGCCCTAAACGCCAAACCCTAAACCCTAAACCCTAAACCCTAAACCCTAAACCCTAAACCCTAAACCCTAAACCCTAAACCCTAAACCCTAAACCCTAAACCCTAAACCCTAAACCCTAAACCCTAAACCCTAAACCAGTCTAGGTGTTGTTGCTTTTTGACTGGGCTTGAAGGTTAAGGGGCTTGAAGGTTCAGGTTTTAGGGGCTTGAAGGTTCCCGGTTGCGGGTGCCAAAGGTTGACTGCTTAGGGTTTAGGGTTTAGGGCTTAGGGTGCTTCTTACAGCCGAGCCCTGGCGAAGACTGAGCCCGGGGCTTCTGCGAAGTGGCATTGTCGCAGGTCACTGGGCACCACCAGTTGTTTGCGTCTCCGTTCAGGCAGTAGTCTTGCCACTGCCTTGCAGAAGCCCCCTAAACGCTAAACCCTAAACCCTAAACCCTAAACCCTAAACCCTAAACCCTAAACCCTAATCAACCATGGGCTAAGCAACGTTCAAGCCCAGGGTCAACCTGGTGGAGGGTGCAGCTTCATCACTTCGTTTCTGATTTACCCGGGCTGTCTGAGCGCTGGAATCCCATAGTCCCAATTTGGGGGTGGGTGGGGTCCCCAAGATGTAGGTATGTAGGGTTCAGGGTGTTGAGAGTGGTTGAAGCTTAAGTTTAGAGTTCAGGCTTGGGCCGGTTTGAGGTTCAGAGCCCGAAGCGTGACGCTCTTACGCACTTCTGGCCATGCGACATATTGCCGCTGTTGTCGAAGGAGACCACCTTCGGTCAGGAACCCCGAAATCACGCTTGGTTGGCCCAGGAAAGCAGAGGAATATTCAGCCAGTTGAAGGTCTGGGAGTTTAGGGGTATAGGGCGCAAATCCCGAACCCTACCTCAGAAGCCAGTCGACTACAGTCGTGGGCGAGCCTCCTCTCTCTCACTCTCCCTTGCCGGTTACCTTCCTACAGCCAAAAAAGGCGCCTGATTAAATACTATTCATCTTCTGTATTCTACATATAAACGCAACATGACTACAAAAATGTACAATATATATTTATATATATATATATACATATATATATATATATGTATGTGTATCTCTCTCTCTATATATATATACATATATAATTGTGCATACTTTAAAACTTGTTGGGGCAGGGGAGGGGGGGGAGGGAGGAGGGGGGGTGCGAGGAACTGAGGGTAGGAGACAGCGAACGGTTCCTGGGTACTGCACTTGTTAACCAATTATCACTGTACTGATAATCCCCTTACGTGCCCTAATATGGCTATCATGTGGGTTATAAACCCCAAACCCCAAACCCCAAACCCTAAACCTTCAACCCTAAACGGTTTGGGGCTTAGAGCCTTGAACCCTGTTGTTGCATCTGGGCTCTCCAACCCGCAAGCCGTCAAACCCTGAAGACCTGATGCCTTTAGACCCTAATTCCTAAACCCTAAACCCTAAATCCACCGCTTATGAACCCGGTACTTATCTCCAAGCAAACCCTAAACCCGAAAGGCTGGCTGGTTCTTGGTGGGGAATGAGGTACCCTAAATAACCCCTTAAAGGTTTCTGTAGGGCACTCATTCCCTCAATCCCTACTAAGAACCAGTTGGAGGTTCAGGGTACTTATTCACCAATTATAAATGTACTTATAACCCACTTATAAGCCCCTTAAGTGCCCTGATATGGTTATAATTTGGGTCAATTATATATATATATATATGTATCTCATTGGTTTAAGAAGTACCCTGAACCTTCAAGCACGGGGAAGGGCATGGACAAGAAGCCGAGCAGTACATCTCGTTGTGCGCGCAGAAGACCGGGCAGCCAGACGGGTACCACTCCTGCTTCGGGTTTAGGGTTTAGGGCTCAGGGTTTAGGGTTTAAGGTTTAGGGTTTAGGGTTTAGGGTTTAGGGTTCAGGGTTCAGGGTTCAGGGTTCAGGGTTTAGGTTTTCGGGTTCAGGGCATGAAGGTTCCAGGGGTTACAGGGCCTAGGGCCTAGGGGTTTGAGGCGAGTTGCAAGGCTTAATTTTGGTTGTTAGGGCCTTCGCTGGAAAAGAGTTGTCTCTATAGGCCTGTGTACGAGTAGGCCTCCATCCCAGCTTGCCCTAATGGTGCGACGCACTCCTAGGGCGTATGTTTTTTTTTTATGAGTTCTTACAGGGGTTGTTCTCAGGATCTTATGAGGCCTTTCCGGTTCTTCTAGGGTTCAGGGACGGAAGCAGGTTGCCAGCTCGGGCGAGCTGCTAGCTTCATCTGCGCCGGTCGGTTCAAGCTTAGGGTAGGCCGTCATGCCAGTTTACGTTCTTTCCCAGCTCTACAAAGATTTTTTCCGAGATCGTTAGAAGGCCCCCCAGAGAAAAAAAAAAAAAAGAGCAAATCCAAGGGGCCCAAACTGCAGATCAGACCCCTCAATGGCTCTATGGCCATCTTTGCCGCTGATCGATGCTTCTGTGTGGCCGCAAGGTCCTAGCCCCAAACTCCAGAGACCAAATCACCAAACACTAAACCCCAAACCCTAAACCTTAAATCCTAATCCTCTATGCCAAAGCTTTCAAACATCTCCATTCACAGCTCTGGTTGCTGGACCCTGAACCCTAATCTTGGGATGTTCTCCCTTATACTAACACTTGGATGTTCATGCGTACTTAATAACCCCATTTTAAGTATACTTATAACCTAGCTGGGGGACTTAGGGGGCTTATAAGTACAGCTATAATTGGGGTCATATGTACCCTGAACCTCCAAGCAGTCCTTAGATAGGGAATATAGTACCCCCTATTATAATCCCATTAAGGACGGTTAGTATAAGGGGGACATCCCAACCCTGATCCCTTAGTTTAAGCCTCCGAGTTTTAATGGGGATTGGTGAGCCCCCCCTAAACCCTAAACCCTAAAAATGGCCCTTGCTGTACCAGCCAAGATGCTGCTGGGTAGCACTCCGCCAGGCCCGTGTCCTGCACTGCTGTGGAGAGCTTCAGTTTAGTGTTTAGGGTTTCGGGCTTCGGCTAGCGGTTGAAGTTTTGAGGGTTGAGGGGTGAAGGGATATGCATCATCTCCCACCCCACGAGGTGCCAGGTTCTTGTAGGGCCTAGGCCTAGAATCTCAGAGCCCTAAACCTAAACCCTGTTTTGGGTCTGAAATGCAGGCCGGCGGCTGCCAGTACTGCCCTCCATGCTGTAGGGGTCAGGGTTGGTGTGGAGGGGAGCGATGTGAGCACGCACATCTCTGATCCCCAGCAGAAGCTGAGGCCCCTAGGTTTCAACAAAAACCCTAAAGCCTGAACCCGAAAACCTGAAACCAGCCCAGGGCGAGTCCGGATTGGCGCAGCTGATCTCATCCCCCTCGCAGACGCAACCCGAGGAAGTGGCACAGGACTCATTGCCTCCGTGATTCGAAGATTCAAGGGGCTACTTGAAGGTTCATGGTACTTGTTAACTGCTTATAACCCAAAACCCTAAACCCTAAACCCTAAACCCTAAACCCTGCACCATGTTAGGGCACTTAAGGGGCTTGTAAGAAGGGTTTGGGGCACCTGCTCGCTTTTGAGAGAGGTGCGTATGGGATCCCGAGAAGCCCAGACTTGCAAGCGCAAGCCCCCTAAACCCTAAACCCTAAACCCTAAACCCTAAACCCTAAACCCTAAACCCTAAACCCTAAACCCCTGTGTTTCTCAAGTTGGTCTTGGTACATATGTTGGCACTTCACATGCAGTTACGTTCGCCCGATCTGCAAGACAACGAAAAGGGCTCCGATTTGTGTTCCAAAGCCGTTTAGGGTTTCGGGTTTTTGGGTTTAGGGCTGAGGGTTTAGGGTTCAGGGTTTGAAGGTGAGAAAGTTGATGTTATGCCTGAAGAATTGCCAGCCTGAAAGGTAGTGGTAGCAGGTGTCGGCGTTCCCACAATCCACAGGGCCTTGACTGAGCAACCCGTAACTAACCCTAAGCACTACACACCCAGCCCGAAATACCGAGAACCAGCCCGATACTCTCCTTAGCCCTCAGCCCACTAAGCCCTAAACCCTCAACCCCTCGACCTCCTGATTCTCTGGGCTGCAGGCCCTCACAGTACACCCTAAGCCCTACTAAATCTAAGCCCTAAGCTATCACCATGAATGCATGTTAAAGTACATGCTATAGCCCGCTATAGAAAGCTTCATGGTTGATGATGGCCGATGATCGCGTTTTGGGCAATACTTGCGCACGTGTCATATGCAGGTTCCATAGAGTTTAGTTACTGTTGGTTCGTAGGGAATGAGGGCATGAGGTACCCTATACAATCTCTTGAAGGGTATGTATATAGGGGGATATAGGGCGCCTCCTTCCCTCATTTCCTACTGACCAGCAGTAAGTTTAGGGTTTACTTGGGCTCCATTATGGGCTGGTCGGCTTCAGGGTGGCTTCGAAGGCGCCTACGCCCGGTACCTCGGAGCCTATGAGTCTCTACACTCAGGTTTTCTCCTAAACCCTGAACCTAGGTCACAGAGTAGCTTAGGAATAGATTTTTGTTTTGTGTGTTGAGGGAGCGCTTCTTTACTGCGTGAGCGGCACAGTAAGCCGGTCATGGAGAGTAGCTTAGGAATAGCAAGGGTGGGGGTTTAGGGTTTCTTGCCTAAACTTTCAACCATAAACCATCCCAGCGCATAAGGGGTCATCCGGAAGAAAGCAAAAACCAGGGCCCACTCCAAACTTCCGATTTGGGATGTTCCCCCCTTATCCTAGCAGTCCATCATAGGGACTACTAGAATACCTATTAAGGACCGCTAGTATGAGGGGGAACAACCCTAGATCCTAAACCCTAAACCCCAACCCTAAACCCTAAACCCTAAACCCTAAACCCTAAACCCTAAACCCTAAACCCTAAACCCTAAACCCTAAACCCTAAACCCCCCACTCCAAACTGACGAACCTTTAAAGGGGCTCTTGGCCCAACAGGCGGCAGCTGTTGGAGATGCTCTCGCAGTATGTGTAGCCGTAACCTCAGTTTAGGGTTTAGGGTTTAGGGTTTGGGGTTTAGGGTTTAGGGTTTAGGGTGTAGGATTTAGAGTTTCGAGTTTAGAGTTTCGGGTTTAGGGCACCCTTTTTGGAGATCCCTCTAAGGGGATTGTACTCTATTTTGGGGCAGAAGAGGGGTGCCCCTATCTTGGGAAATGCCCAGCTGCTGGCGGAGGGCTAGGATTCACGGGTTTTAGGGCTGAGGGCTTGCTGGGGTTTAGGGTTTAGGGTTTAGGGTTTAGGGTTTAGGTATAGGGTTTAGGGTTTAGGGTTTAGGGCTTGCTGGGGTTTAGGGATGTGCAGGTTTGAGGGTTTAGGGCTGAGGGGTTCGCAGGGTTTTAGGCCGGATTGCGTGTACCTTGGCAGGGCATGTGCAGAGCAGCTTGAACTGGTTTAGGGTTTAGGGTTTAGGGTTTCGGGTTTAGGGTTCGGGTGCCGGGCTCACCAGGCCGGCCCATAGGAGACCCTTCGGGAATCTTACTTGGAGGTTCAGGGCACGTATGAACCCACTAATGACTTATACCTTATAACCCACTTCTACAGATATAATTGGTTCATAAGTACCATGACCCTTCAAAGAGGGTAGGGTTCAGGGTTGCCGGAGTCACTTCCCCCCACCCCCC